AGAAATGTTGGATTCAGAGAGTATATGTTTAGGGAAATAAAGAAAGAATTCAAATTGAGTTGTGCAACTAAGCTCTTAAAATCCTTTAGAACATAAGCTCCCTGAGGGCAAGGACTTCACTTCAAGGTTTTCACTGCCATAAGCCAACCTCAACCTGTGCGCGGCACACAGAAGGTAATAAACACGCATTCATTAAAAGAAGAAAACGAGGAATAGAAGAGAATCACTGACATGAAAAACATAATAGAAGTGGAAACCGAGCACAAAAGTAGACGTGGCATAGTTTATGGTTTAATAGAAAGTCCAATAGATTCAGTGGACAAGAGTTATCTTCTTAATTCTTAGGGTTCTTCTAGCTTAACTTTATACAAGTCATGACTTTTTATGCCTCTGTTTCTCAATTTACAAATTATCTCTTCCTTCATGCTTTAAAATGATAGTATGAGGTACTGTCAATAAGAAAAGGGGAAGCAAGGAAGAACAAAGATGTACGATTTTAGGCAGAATGATTTTCTGGAAATGCAGAAATGCTGATTTGTACAAACACGTAAAGGAGTCAGCTGAGCAGCTGGCATGAAGCCTACTAAGAAAAAGAAGAGGGCGGATAAAGAAGAGGAACAAAAATGTGAATTTATTGTGCCAGTAACTAACTAGTATACCATACATTGACTGGAGACATTTATTTTGCATATATCTTTGCCATACGTGGAAATATCATTCAGTATTAAAATGCAATAAAGTTATGTGAAAGAAAAGATAGGTGAAGAAGCTTTGATATCTTAGAATGTAATGAAATAATGATTTCATAAAGCCAAAATGGCTGAGCTAGGAAAAATAAGAAAACTTCAAGACAGAACTGAGAGGGTGAGAGGGGAGAAGAAGGAAAAAACTGACCGGCGATCATAAAGGAACACGGAAAACCAACCAAACAGGGATGTGCAGGAAAGAGGTGAGCCACGGAGCCATCGGCTGCTCCCCCTAGGAAGCCAACCTGGTTTCTAAAGCAAGCTACACATTGCGGAGATGGTCAGATAGAAAGGGGAAAAGACCACCACTATGGAAAATGTTATAAACGCAAAGCAAGGAGGTGAAAAGAAAATTTAACTGTAATGGTGTATGGCGTGCACTGTACACGCCTGACCAGTGGCCCCACCAGCAGCGCTTCCCTGACTGCTGGTCAGATGCCCCCTCAGCCAGCACAGCTCGCCTGCAGCTCTAACTCAGAACAGGGCAAAGAGGACTGGAGACAGGGCAGCTACTCTGTCTTCTGCTTCTTGGATTTCACTAAACCTTTCAGAGCTTGTGAATTTTAGTAAAAGAATTTCACTAACTCTTTCAGAGTCTGGGATGCCTCACCAGGAAATTTACAAAATAATTTAGTTCAAATTGGAGATCGTTCAGCCTCTTCCTGGTTGTAATGTCTTAGGCTTTGAATAAGTATGGTCCAAGTAGAGAAAATTTGTTTGAAAACACCATTCTGAAATACCTACACATACAGTTCCAAGGATATAGAAGTCTCTATCGTGCTAAAAACGAATAGCGTTTTAAATGGAAGGGAAGGAATTGTTCAGTAAATTACGACATAAATGCATCATGTTGAGCTTTGCAAATGGTAGCGATTCACATTGTCACTGTGGTAACAATGATTTGCCATGCAACCCAATACAAAGACTTAAGACAAAGCAAACAAATTTGGCCTAAGATGAAAATACTAATACGTTCTTGCACCCAAGAGTCTGTTGTCAAGCGAGCTGTACCATACAGAAATACATTTTCTTCAAGATGGCACCGCAGCATCCTGGCTACAATTTAATTAATCGGTTCTTTTTATAGTAATCTAAGTCTGCAATCTCCCAGAGTCCGTTCTTTCCACACAAATAGAGAAAAAGAAAAATTTTAAAAAAACCAGAAAAATAATTGTACAAATTAACGGTTCAAGTGTTATATGACTTGTTGAAAAATGAAAACTTAACTAATCTCATGACGATATCATGAGTACAGTAGTGAAAAACCACTAATCACACACAGGAAAACTTCAGAATTTTATATATATATTCTGGCCCTGTATTAGAGTTCTTAAGATCTATATGTATGCGTAGATTAATATAAGAAAAACATGAAATCACATTACCTTATGAAAGAAATACCCACTTTAGAAAATGTGGCATAGCCATTACATCTACAGGCGATTTAAAATGCTCTATCTTGCCTTTTATTATAATAAAGACAAAGGATGTTTTAATTGTAAGGGAATCAGTGACAAAGGGAGTAATTCTAGTATTTACGGAATAAAACCCTAACACTAATAGGTAGGTTGGTTTGGGAAATAACACAGCAGACACAATTACGAGGATTGTCTCTTCTCCGCTCTCTCAGGCTCCAGGATAAAGAAGAATCAATTAGCCCTCAACAGACTACGACCTTGAAGGTCACAGCTCTGTGCATAATATGCTGAATATGCTGAGACAGGTAGAAAAGGGAGACCGAAGTCCTGAAACCAACGAAGAGCCTGTTTCGGATGTGACAATGTCCTTTTAAGGATGCTTAGTTCATGTCAAAAACATGCATGATGAGAGAAAAGCTCCAGTACTTTCTGTGACTAAGCAATACTTTCTTAGTTGAAAAGAAAAAAAGTGATAGAGATTACAAAATGACAACATTCAGTTCCAAGCCCTTTTTTTTCTTTCCTTTAGTTAATGGCTACAAGCTTTTTAAACAATAAATGCAACCACTGATGAGTGTCTACAAACAAAGCTCCAAGGACTACTAATCTTTTCAAAGAAAAAAAAGACGATTTTTTTTGGATACTAGTAATTTGTTATTTTTAGGCACTATTCCAAAAAAGAATTAACACAGTTTCCCCACACAGAAAACCCTACGGGCTGCACTGTGTTAACCAACTGTCCAGTCCTAACTTTTCAGGAGGAAACTATTTCCCAGACTGCATTTCCACGCGTATCTCCAATGCGCTTCCGAAGGCTGCAGCTCTGCAGCGGGGCCAGCGCTGGTCACTGTGATGCTTTCAGGCAGCAGTAAATCTTCTCCACTCAATGCAAATGCTAGACAATCAATACCCTGGCTTGGGAAAAAAAATCTTTTTTAAAGAAACTATATGGAATGTATAATGTATTGAAACACTTAGTAGAAGAATTTATCTTAAAAAATAATCCCTCAAAAAGTCAACCTATACTTTCTGATTTGGTCCTAGAACAGGAAAATGTACTGGGTGTTTCTTTGTTCGTTTATTTTCCTTAGATGACAAAATTATAGAATTTAGCTGACAAGTTTTTACGAAGAGTCCTGTTTCCTTTTCTGGACAACTAAACCTATTCAGCCACATTTTCAGTAAAGACAAGTTTCAAACCCGAAAGACAAAGAAGTAACCTTGTCTTCATAGTAAATTTTGCTTCTCCTTGCAGGATCTGTATGTGCTTTTTATAGCCTGTCATTTCATCTGGGTATTATTTCCCGGTCACTTTGCCAGGTGGGAAGAGGCGGCGAACGCAGTGATGTCTGTCAGACCTTTAATGGTGCTTCGGGGATTTGATAAAGACACAGCGCAGTGTCTGAAGAAGGGAGCTTCTTCCCTAATTACACCTGAAAAACAAGCCTCATTTTTTTCTGAAATCTTTGCCACTGAAACTGGCGCGTATGAAACCATCTTGAATCACTAGCAGAAATCAGGTTTTCCTGTGTTTCTGTAACACATGACTCTGCCTCATCCTGAACATTCTGTGTGGAAGAGATGTTCTTTATTCTTCATTACCATCTAGAGGGAGAGCAGGAGTGAGTATTTCATCACTAAATCCTTACCCTCAACTCACCTTTAAGTCTAAGAGGTTTTACATACATGACTGAGAACCAACTTCTCTGATCTTTCACATTTTTTTCTGCTAAGGAAAAATTCATCAATGGTAGATAGTGATAGAAGATAGAGAATCAAAAGTTAATTATAAACATTTTTTTTTAAAAAGCTACAAACTCCTCCCTTCTATACTGACGCTTAGAATATTCTGACTAGTCATGGTTTCATGCTTGTCAACTTTCCATTATAAAGCATTGCAATGACCCAGTACAAACAGCAGCACGCTGCTCTGTATTGGTTTAAAAGCGTGGGCTCTTCCCTCACAGGTTATTAAGCTGGGCTGCTGCGATCCGACAGGCCAATGACCCATGCCTAAAAAAATACAAAAACGATGTACCTTACTAATGCCTCTTGTACTTTTTAATGACCACCAAGGAAGCTACTTAAACATTTGATTACAGAAGACGACGAGACTGCTCTGGGAAAATCCTTCCATGCGGAACTGTACAGTGACTTGAATAAAATAAGGCTGCCCCTAATAAGTGCCCAGTAACTGAAACCACAGCCTGGGCAGGACACTGATCATCTGATGCAGGGAGACGTGAGCGCTGCCAATGTCTAAAGATTCGGTGCAGTATCAGGCAGGACCATTTCAGATGCACATGTGGGGAGAAGTGGTGAAGGGAACAGGAAGAGGAGATGGAGAAAGACCACAGGCAGATGGGGATTGCTGGGAGGCAGAGGCCAACTGAGAGGTGAAGAGAAGTACCAGGAAGACTGTATGGGGAGAAGAAAGACAAAATCATACTCACTGATCTATGGAAGTCACACTGAACATAAAAAATAATGATGATCTGATATTTTAACATCAAAAAGTGTTAGAAATAAATTGAATTTAACTTAAATTCAAGCATGACTCGAAGACACTGAAGTTTTGGGTCCTGCACCCCAGATCTGGCAATCTGGCCAAAAGGAGTTGCAGTCAGAACACTGAAATACACGAGTTTTCGAGAGCTTTTTACTCATCTCTTCATTGCCACCCCAAGCATCCCGATCACACGATATGCTTAACCAAAACCATGCAACTGAGACACAAGGAGAAAAGAAAACAGCTACATTGCTCTGGTGAACAATTTTTAGGACCTGGAGCCCACCCCTGTCTTTTACTCATCATCGTCTCTCTCTCTCTACTTACAAAGTTTAGGAGCAGTTTGGAGATTAGTTTCTGTTGTTTGTGGCTGAGTTGCTGACTTGGGTGTTCTCACCTCAGGGTTCCGAGTGGGTGAAGGGAAGGATGGTGCAGTGGGTGGCAGGAAAGAAAAAGCAAAAGCACGATTCTTCGGGGTTGGTGCTGCTGAAGGTTCAGAGGACACCACAGTATTGTCATCAACTTGTACTGTAACTTGAACCTCAGTTTCAGACTGAGCCCTAGAGACGGGTGAAGTATATGCCTCAGATGATACCCACACAGCTGAGGCAGCAGTTGGATCCAGGGAAATAATAGGGTCCTGGCCTAACCCCCCAGGGTCAAGGTGAGTAGGAGAGTCATACTCAAATATCTTGTCCACAAATACCCACTTGAGGCCGGCAATGCAGAGGCAGAGGCTGACTAGGCAAGCCAGAATGGGGACAATGCAGATTTTCTCCGAGTTGAGGCAACCTCTCAGGCGCTCGGCTTCCAGGCAGACGCAGCAGGGAACTGCCAGGCCCACAAGTCCGGGGGTTCTCCCATCTTCCGTCTGGGTCTCTGGCATGTCTTCTGCTGCTGGAAGCCCATCAAGAGACGGGTCTGCACTCAGCTGAGTGGAGGGGCTGGAGGACCTCTCAGCAGCTCCCTCAGACATGTCTGGGGAATAGATCTCCATCGGCTCACCTCCAGAAGGCCTGGCCTCTCTCACGGTCCATTACCATGCAGGGCCCCCCCCAGCCAAATGAGACAGCATCTTACAGGGGGAAATCGATAAGTCGTCCAAGTCCAAGGCCATTATCAAAAGCAAGAGGAGTTCAGAAGGAAGGAAGAAAAAGAACAAGCCTTTAGCAACTACCAAATAAAAGTATATTGTAATTCTTTACCGCTGTTTAGGGGCCACTTTTGCAGTTCTTTTAAATGCTTCTCCAAACCATCCGGGCTGGTCCAGAGGACAGGGGCCAAAACAGAAACCCAGCTGACGGTGGGTCGATTAAGTAAACCAGTAGCCCAAACTGAAAGGCATGTTTCTCACCTCGGGCATCTGAAGCTGCTGTCTGCTTAGATGGAGAAAACAACTGTCATGCAGGAGAAGTAAGAGCAAAAGCAGGACCAGCGCTGGCGGCGGCGGAGGCAGCAGCGGCGGCGGCAGGAGGGGCAGCAGTGACAGTAGCAACAGCATCCTGTTGTGTTAACGCGACGGCGGAACGAGGCTGAATCATTACAGAGCAGCAGGTGCCTGCCCTCTGAGCATCACTGCACACAGCATCCTCGCAGAGGGACCCGAGGGGAAGAGTGCGCCAGGAGGGGCGGTAACTCCTCTCCCCGCCCTGCCTCCCCCCCCACCCCCACCCCCAACCACTCCTCTTTGTGCTCCTGAGCGCTCATTCACTTTCTTCCTCAGCGGCTCTCGCTTTCTTCCCAGTCTCTCGCTCCTTCTTTCCCCTCCTCTTTCAAAGACGTTCTCTCTCTCAGTCTCTTTTTCCTCCCTCCTATCCCAGCCCCCACCCGCTGTCCACACTCCAGAGCTGCTGGCCGCTCAGAGTAAAATCAGTATACCCGGCAACACAGGACAGCCAGTGACTTCCTATTTTATCCAATTAGAAGGAATAAAGGCCATCAAATCAAAGAGAAGCAGGCAGGCACCAGTTCAGCTGAGTCCCCAAGGCCCCCACCCCTTTTCTTTCTTTTTTCTTTTGCTCTCTGCAAAAGCGGCTCCAGTCCTTCCACCCCCACCTTGTTTGCTTTCAGTCTTGCTGGCTCTTTCCTTCACCCACTGTTGGGTCAGAGAAAAGCCAGCGATCGATGCTAGCAATCTAACAAAGCTGGGATGGGGCGGGGATGTAGGTGGGACCTCAGGGGTTGGACCTCAGGCTTGGCAAAGTCTGATATCTGATTCCTCCCCAGAGAGGTAAGCGTTGCAACAGCAATTTCTCCTGCCTGCTGCTGAGAGCTAGCATTCCTGCCCCAGCCCGCTAATAAGTTTTGTTCACCAAGAGGACTGTTATTACCTGATTCTCAACCAACAGTCGGGACATTTTTCCTAACCATGGACAGCTCTGCCTTCAGCCCTTGGCAGGCAGACAGTGTAAGACTCTGCAATGCCCAGTGCGAAGTGCTGAGTGTATGCTGGAGCAGGGGGCTGCTGGGCAGGGGAGTGAGGGGTTCAGACATCCTCACTCTGGTCCCCTTTAAATTTCCATTTCCCTGTCCCACCCACAGCAGCCCTCGACTCATGTCCAGCTAACTAGCAGCTCTGGTAAGTAACAGAGCCACACAGGGAGCAAAAGGCTACCGCTTCGTTTGGAAATTAGCCTTCACTGTGACTCCACGCTGCGGACGCCTGTATTCCCTGGGCGCTGTAACGTGTACCACATGTCCTCACTATCGCCGCACTGCAAGAATTAAGAACAGTTTTCTGTAAGAGCACGCCTTTTCGGGTTAGGTTTTGGGAGTTTTGCCTTACAGATAGTTTCAATGCTGATTTTTCCCCCCTTTCTAAAATAGCAGTCATTAAAAGACCAAGAGAAATTCACTGTCCTTCATGGAGAGACAGGCTCCACTGAACTTGCCGTTTGCTGCGTGTCAGGGCGCGCTGCGTGCACCTGCACCGTTCATCCGCACTTCACCGTGACTGCACACCTGGACCGTTTCCAAGGAACCATTCTGCTCACCTATGTCAAGAGGAGTCTTAAAAACTCTCTCTAAATCTGTGTTATATAGCCATCATATGAGTCCCAGAAACAATAAAATTTAGAGCCCAAGTCCTGAGAACATCTGCTTTCAGCACACTCTGTTTTGTATAGGGCACTCTTCACTGCTTTGAATTATTTTAAAGCTTTAAGTGGACATGGGATTCGAGTATTATCATTTCTTTCTAAATGAAATTAGTCCATAATTATAAATAATTCAAAGGATATTATCTTAAAATGTGTTTGCAGTACTATAGCTAACAACGACAAAAGCCTGAATTGATCTGAATAAGTGTTATCATGGCCATGACAGGCTTATGAGCAAAACTAATTATCCTAAAGTTCACCTCTACATGACCTGCACTTACATCCCAGCAACTAGTATTTTAAAATAATTTCTGTGCCCAATTTCTAGCTTTAACTAATTAACTAATTAATTAATTGAACTGTTTGATTTGAAAGTACCGAGAATTTTCTTAAAGATTCTAGCAATAGACATAAAATTCCATATGACAGAAAACCTATTTTTGAAGCATTTACAGTATTCAAACTGAGAGGTATTACGATTTTAATTATCAATATTTATGTAAATATTAAAAACGATATAAGCAAGTAAATGCTTATGCTAAATTAGGGTAATTTATAATTCCTTTAGAGATCACCCAGTTCAAATGCGTGGCCCTTCACTCCTCCAATGTTACACTCAAATATAAAACATTGGCATTTCGTCCACAGCCAAAGCCATCTAAATCTCAAAGACCAAATGGGGTTCAGGGAGCCCAGGTCAGGTGTGGAAGAGAGATGCCAAGAGCAATAACCGGCAGTTAAGAAAAGTGGTCCCTAACTTGCACCAATAACAACTATTCACCTGACCTTAATCATTAAGAGCGAACATATTCAGCAGACAAATTGCTGGGCACTAGCTCTCCTGTCCAAGACACCCCACACTTACAAAGGAAAACAGCGTGTTATGTAAAGGCTAAGGACAAAACAGAGACAGACCCGTGGGCTGACACAGCCTTTCTTTTCCCTGACTACACAAATCAGACTGTGGCATGTGTGTGAGTCCTCCCTGGATACGGACCAGAACTCGCACCTTGAAGCTAAGGTCAGCTTGCAGAGGGCCAGCATCCTATAAAGCTGCTTCCCACCAAAGTGGAAGGTGCTTGTAACTGAGGAAAGGAAGTAGAACAGGAGCTAAAGACTGAAAGGAATTCTCCAGGAGTTCTGTCCTTGAGACAAGAAGACAGAAGTTGCCTTTAACCCTTTATCAAATCCTTTGTAGTAATAATGAAGTGAGAAAGGGGAGTGTATATGGAATTAAGGATCAGATTAAGGATCAGGTAAAACATGCCTATTTGTAGGAAGAACTGCAAAGATACATCACTTTAACCCTTTATGCTTCATCCCCATGAAAGCCCAGGAACACCCATATTTCAATGTTTTCTTAAAAAAGTGAACAAGAGACAAATTTTTACTACCTTTTAAAACCACATTACCACCTCCTTCATGACAACAAAAAGTACATTTATTTAGCTCCACCTTTGTGTCAGGAACTCTGCTGCATTTTTAACATACATTATTTTTTTTTATCTTCACCAATTTTGTATAGTACATATTATCTTGAAAATAAAGAAACTGATTCAGGCAGCTTAGGTGGCTTGGCCATGGACATGCAGCTATTGAGGTATGGACCCAGAGCTGAGCAAAGGTCTGACTCATGCCATTTCTGCTGAAAAATGCTGCTCCTCTTTTTTAATCAGAAGAACGCATCTGATTATGTATTGCTTACCTATCACTTCCACAGGAGAGTAAGCAAACCAGAAAATAGAAACAGTCATTACCTTCATTTAATTAGTAAACAAACTTACAGGCACCTAGTTTCCAAATTAAGTGCCCTCTAAAATTTTGCCTACTGATTTTCAGACATTATAAGGATTAAACACAGGCCATTTAAATAATAAATATTTATAGTTTAAATGGAATGAATTCTTCCATAGTCTCAGTTCAAGGATTTTCTTTGGAAAGTTATTTTAGTTGTATATTGCTATGAAATGAACTGCCCTGAAAGAGCTAAAGATAACCATTGCATATTATTTCACTAGTCTGCAGGTTTAATGGGTTCAGTCGAGCGGTTCTTCTGCTCCATTTGTTGGCAGCTGGGGCTGCAAGAGCTGAAGATGCAATTGGGCTGAAACACTGAAGATGGCCCACACACATGACTGACGCAGCTGACGCCAGATGTCAGCGGGACGCCCAGATAGGATTGGCGGACGGTGCACCAACCTGTGGCCTCTCTAAGTGGCTTGGGTTTCTCACAGCATCACAGCTGGGTTCTGAGAGGGAGGAAGTGCCAGCTGCCAGGCTTCCTAAAGTGTGGATCTGGAAGCAGCAAAACTTACTTCCACCGCATCCTACTGGTTGAGCAGTCGCAATGCTATGTGAGATGCATGGGACAAACAAATCTTGATGGACACAGAGACAAAGAATTCCCAGCCACAATTAATCCACCACAGAAAGCAAGGAAGTAAATATTAGCAAGACAATCCAAGCGGAGACACAATAATATAGACAGGGACTTGCTTTCCCAAAATACACTATTTCTGATCCACTTTCGTAATGTTCCAGCTTCCTTCTAAGCCAACTTCAATGAAGAAAGCATTCTATTATATCATCGGATTAAAGATTCTCAAATTCCTCTGCTACCTCAATTCAAGGTAGGCTCTTTGGGTCTGTATTAATTTTATGTATTCTAATTTCAGAAATATTTAGCATAGCTTCAGCAGACAAAAGAGGGCAATAAATGCCATTTTGCTTTCGACCATGTCACCCAAACTTATTTTCTCTGTCTTATTTTTCCCCATATTTTGGCTATTTTACTGCAGAAATTTTTATCTTTCAAGAAGTTTATCCTTGTTCCTCCATTTTATGGCTGAAAAAGTACAATTTACTTCCTGGTATCTAATATCACTATGGCAGCAGTAGTTTGGTTTAGGGATGCCAACCTTTGGAGCTGACTATGTTTAACTTATGATTTATTTGCTAATGAATTGTGAAATCATGATGTCACAAGAAACCTTCAGGGCCTAAAGATAACCTTAAAAAGTTGCTGCTTCCTGTGAGAGAGGACAATCTACTCAAATGGATCTGTTAGCCTCGTCCCACCCATCTGAAAATGAACTCCAGCTCAAGTCTCAGCTCTTCCATGGAGCCCTTCTTGCTTCCAAGTCACAGATGCAGCACACCTTAAAGGCACCATTATTGGGGCACAACTTCACAGTTGGTGTTATTATTTAATTATGTCGTGTGTATCAGACTGAAGAATGCAATTCTTTCAAGGTCTGGTCTACAAATGTCTAGTTGTCCCAAACCTAGAGCTAGGCTACTCTTCAATCCATATTTTGTTTGGTTTTATTTTTCACTGAGATTGATTTACACAGATTATGCCACTTCTAATAAACTGGCAGACTTCTTTTCATACCATCTATCTATACAAAAT